CCCGTCCCCCCTTGGTTCTCTTCTTCACCCTCCTTTTTCTTCTCTGCACCCTCACTTTCCGTTTGCTCCTCTTTTCCTGGCTGACTGAATCAGTAAACTTGATTTTTATGAACTATTTAGATATGCAGAGGGGTGGGAGGGGGTGATCTAAATGAAGTATCACCATGGCCTGAAGTTCAGTTGTTGACAAAAAACAAACAGTTTATCCTGAGAAGTAAGTGTAATATCAGAAAGGAAAAAGAACAGTTAGCAGTCTTGTTACATGAGACCATATTGATGGAAGCAGTTAATTTTAATCACTTAGTTTGAAGGGCTCTTCTACCTTTTTCTTTTTTTTTAACTGCTAGTCAGTACACCAGATGTGCATTTGACCAAGCTCCCTGCCTAGCTTAGAGAGGAAAGTGTCCTTCCTCTGACCAGCCAGCTTGCAGCAGCGAGCTTTCCTCTTTCCCCTCGCCTGGAGGTCTCGGGAAGCAGCACCTGCTATAGTATAGATCGTCTCTTACTGTTCTGTCAATCATCTGTCGTGTGAGCTTCCTGGCTTTGCTAGTCTAAACCTTCACATACTAACTTCTTGTCTCCCCTGGTCCACATGTCTCTCGTACCCAACCGAAGCTCTCGGAGAGCCCCCCCCCCCTTTTCCAGCCCTTGCAGCTCTTTGGCCAACTGCAGTATAACTCCAGATTGTCTTCACATGACCTTGTCCTCCTTGGCCTCTAAGAAGGACACTTGTTGTTGGCTTTAGGGTTCCCTAGGGCAGTTCATGATGAGTCTGTGAAATGCTTTTTCCCAAGTATGACCACATATACAGGTTAGGGTTAGGACGTGGCCTGTCTTGTTGAGGGCTATGATTCAAATCTGCCCTATTACCTATTTTTTAAAAACTATTATTTATTTTTCTTTTATGCATATGAGTGTTTTGCTTGCATGTTTTTAAGTGCACCCATGTGTACAATGCCTGTGGAGGCTAGACGAGGGCGTCAGATCCCCTGCAACTCGAATTACAGAACAGTTGTTAGCTGCCCTGTGGGTGCTGGAATTCAAACCCAGGTTCTCTGCAAGAACACTCAGTGGTCTTAACAACTGAGTCATCTCTCCAGCCCTACCTATCTTTTATCTAACTGTCATCTTTGTTTTTAGCTTCCAGAGTACTGTGTGTGCATTAGCTACTAATAAATATTTACAGAATTGAAAATGTGACCTTATTTTTAAGTAGCCTAAATTAGTGTCCTGGACCCAGCTGCCCTATGTTTCAAATGTGTTTTGTCCTTGGCTCTAAGGAGCACATAGCACCAGATTCTCCAGCCTTTAAAGTGGCATGTGGTTCACATTCACACTGGAGCATCTACAAGTCCTGAAGGAAGAGCGATGTTGAGTTGGGGCTGTTCTTAGAACCTTCAAGACTGCTGTTTTCCTAGGTGTTCATCCCTGGGCCACAGTTAACTTCCCAGGAGGCCTCGAGGGCTGCTAGCTTCTAGCAAGATATGTCTTCATTAAATCAACCCTATTTAACCTTTGTTAATGTAGGTGCCTTCCTAGAGAGAGGAAAAGTTGATCTAGGCTTTAAAGATAGAGGGAAGAAGTCAAAATATGAATATGCTTGCTCTTACTTGATTGATTGAAATTGAATTAGCTATAAAACAAGGATGAGCATTGACTGTGTTCTCTCTTCTCTGGAATGATCACCATAGAAAGGAAGTTATACAAGGGAGTGGTCTGGAAACCTCCCTCAAGAACTGAAGTTCTAGGCCTGGAAGCGGAAACTTGGCCCAGCTGTCACCTGTGTGACCTTGGGCAAGATTTCTCAGGTTAAAAAGCTTTCTGCTGCTTCTGCAAGCCAGGTGCATTGCATCAGTGGTTTCAAGCAATGGTTGAGTGTGCCCTGGCACTCACCCTTCAAATACCCCCTCTACTGATGAAGCACTTTTTATTTTATTTTTTTATTTTATTCCCTTGATGGGTGTTTGGGTTCACTAACACAAACCTCATGATCTTTGTGTGTGTGTGTGTGTGTGTGTGTGTGTGAGAGAGAGAGAGAGAGAGAGAGAGAGAGAGAGAGAGAGAGAGATTAGCAACTGGTTGTGTGGGGATGCATCTCAGGGCAGAGTGTTTGCCTTGCATGCACTAGGTCCTGGGTTCAGATTCCGACACCACAGGGGGAAAAAAAAGACACAGAAACTGGGTTTGGTTCAGAATGAAGAACAGCCGTGTTTTGTTTCCTTCACCTGCCTGCTTGCAGCGGAAAGCTACAAGGAGACACAGATGGTGAAGGTTAAAGACGAGCCCATGGAAGTGGACATCCAGGACTCCCAGCTCTCCGTATCACCCAACCGGAACGTTGGCTACAGCACTTTAATGGGGCGAGAGAAAACCGAACCCTTACAGAAGCTTCCAGAAGGCAGAGTTCCCCCGGAGAGAAACCTCTTCAGCCAGGATATCTCTGTGAAGATGGCTTCCGAGCTTCTTTTTCAGCTATCAGGTAGGTGCAGAGTGGGAAAATGTCACTAACTGGGAACCATCAGTAGCAAATCCTTTCTAACAAGGGAAAAAGCACCTCACATAGGAGCTTACATAGAAGGAAATCTGTTTTTATCCTGGTTAATGAAGTGTTGCCAAGTAGGATTCCTGCCGCACTTAAAAGAATTTTTTATTTACATTTTTATTGTGTGTGTGTGTGTGTGTGTGTGTGTGTGTTTGTACACATGTGGAGGATCATGTGTGGCAGTCAGAAGACAACTTTCAGGATTTGATTCTCTTCTTCCATTGGAGATCGAACTCAGATCATCAGGCTTGGTGGCAAGTGCCCTTACCCTTTGAACCATCCCATCAGCCCCATACTTTGTTTAACATATTGTCAAGAATCATTTAGAGTTAGAAATCTGTGAACTTCTGTGTTGATCCCACTGTCAGGCCCAATATGCACCTCTGGTAAGGTTTAAGGCACTCATCTTAACGGTGTTTCCTTTCTAATGAGAAAAAGGTAAAACTTCAGTGAATGCCAGTAATGACTGAATAACCACAAATTCCAAATTAGTGTTGTCTGAATTTTATTATATCTTGCTAAAAAAGAAAAGTTAAAAAGTAAAAGTGTGAGGACCATTTCTAGTTAGAACCCAAGAGAATATTTTCTGCAAATCTGTTTCTACTTCAAATACCTGGAATCACGATGCAGTCTTTCTACTCAGCGACGGGTCTGGGTAAAATAGCCAAGGATCCTTGTACCCAAGTTATCAACCCTTCCAAGCCTCGTGCTATTTGTCTCTAGCACATGCTGAAACTCCTTGAACATGAATGAGGCTGCTTATGTGTACACTTAATAAGATTTGTGGGGATTTTTGTTTTGTTTTTGTTTTTTGAAACAGGGTCTCCCTGTAGCCCCCTGCTGGCCTGGAACTCACTATGTAGACCAGGCTAACCTTGATCTCACAGAGATCCATCTGCCTCTGCCTTCTTGAGTGCTGGCGTCAAAGGCGTGTACCACCATACCCATCTAAGATTCATGTTTTGATAAAAACACGTTCTCCTTATTCATAATCAAACATTGGTCTTAATTCTGAAGTTCATTCATCAATAGTTGATTAGTAATGTTTGATAAACCCAACACCCATTAAGTGCCTCATTATTTAAAGCACTTATTCCCTAACTGTAATAAAACACCAGGCCAGAGTCTATGTGCCCCCAACGGTTGGTCTTCCCAGTGGCATGGTGACACCTCTACAGTATGTGACTCTCATGTGGTTTTGAGAACAGTGGTGTCAACTAAAACTGTCTTTGCACAGATCTCCACAGTGAAAATCATTCACTCAGTAAACTTAAGAGTCTTGACACATAGATTCTTTCAGCTGGTTCTAAAACCACATGAGATGCTGTTTTTCTAAAGGCAGAGGCATATCTAACAGCAATGCCACTTTGATAGTGATTTAAGAGTCAAAATTAGCCAAAGTAAGGCCTAGGGCTCTTCTCAGAGTCTCTATCTTTGACAGTATGTTATCACAGTCTCTGATGGGCTAAAAACCTTGGGTCTGAGAGTCTCATCCCAGCACTGGCACTGCCTGGGTGACGCCAGACAAGTCATTTAGCCCAGTTTCATGCTCCCAGCAAGGATATTGGCCAGCAATCCAGATTCTCTGTTGAGAGGACAGGAAAGAGCTGTCCATGTAAACACGTACGCTGAGGCTTAAGGTAGGTAGAGCTAGTTAAACTTGTTTACATTTTCAAAAAAAATCACTGTGATGAGCTTTTAAATTTACCTTGTCATAAAATCTGAAATCCTGTAGACTTGGCCATTTTTTAAAAATAAATGCTCCCATTAAGCTATCAAGAGCTATGATGGTCAGGGTAGAGTCTAATATTTGAACTGTATCAGGGAGGCTACAGTTCACCTCAGTTCTTGAGAGCTTATTAAATATTTTCTGACAGGTGGTAAATACAGACCCCAGGACGCATGAGAAGAGGGCCTACCTCTTCTAGTCCAATGACATCATTCTGTTCCTGGTGGCACTTATTAGAATAAGCAGTCAGTGAAGCAGTACCAAGAGCTCAACTGATTGTTCTTATTTCTCTTCTCTGAAGAAGCCTAACATAGAATGCATAGAGGGTGTCATCAAAGCCAGGACAGGACAGTTGCCACAATTGCAATTTGGGGGCAGAATCAAAGAAATCAGAAATGGTGAACTGGGGAAAGATGGGTAGAAATAATTATTTCTGTGCATATTGTGTGTGTGTGTGTGTGTGTGTGTGTGTGTGTGTGTGTGTCTGGTGTGTACTCGTACTTACAAAGGCCTGGTTAAAACTCAGACAACACTCCTGAAATTTACTAACAGTTCCCTTTGATTAGTGTTTAATGAAATATTGTTGTGGATACTATCTACACACTTTTGACTCCTCTTTCCCAATAAGTCAGGGAGGAGTTGAGTGTTCCAAAAAGAAAGTAACAGAGGAAAAAGAGGAATGCTGGGGGATTTCTGCTTCAGATCAACTGAACTCAACCTAAGAGTTTTGTTTCTGTCTCCTTCCAGAAAAAGTGAGCAAAGAGCACAATCACATGAAGGAGAACACCATCCGGACGACCAACAGGTAGGCCAGTGCTGTACGGCATTCCTGTGCAGGTGCCACGTCCCTCCCCGCCGTCCCCATGACCATCAGACACTCACTGGAGGCTGTTCCCTGAACTGCTTCCTTCCATTGTGATTCACAGGAGTCAGCTCTTTAATAATGTTTTCTCCTAGATTTTCTCAGTTGGTGAAAACAACACTGAATCCAGAGATAATAACCAGGGAAATGGCCACTAATATTTATTAAAGGTTTCTGAGGGATCACTTTGCTATGGAATTTTTCCATATGTTATTGGTTTTTATTTCTTTTTAAGTTTTTTTATTTATTCATTTTTGTTTTATGCATATGAGTTTTAATTTATTTTATGAGTGTCTTAACTGCACGGATATAAGTTTTCCACATGTGTGCAATGCCCACAGAGACCAGAAAATGACATCAGATTCCCTGCAACTGCAGTGTCAATAGTTGCTAGCCACCATGTGGGTGCTGAGAACTGCAGGGTCCTCTGGAAGAGTATCCAGTGCTCTTAACTGCTGAGCCATGTCTCCAGCCCATGGTTTTTATTTCTTACAATATTTTTGTGAAGTAAATATTACTAACATCATTGCAAAAGTTTGTTCTTATTTATTTTCCTACTTTTTAGTACTTGGACTTGAACCCAAGGTCTCCTGTGCTAAACAATGCATTCTACCACCGAGTGTCAGAAGTTTCTAAACTTGAGTGGAGGCTGGGTCTGGAGCTTAGGAGTCCACACATGGCTGAACCGATGTTCTTACTGCACTTCTGTTTCTCACTGACTCTGCAGCTAGGAGCTAACTGCATATCACTAAAGATTTCCCACTGTTTTACCTTGAAGCCTTTTCCAGAGGGCAAAGATGCTTAAAGCAGAAGGAAGATAATGCTTTTAAAAAGTTGCAAGTAGTGAAATGACTCAGCTGGTAAAGGCACTTGCTGCCAAGCCTGACCACCTGAGTTCTATCCCCAAAGCTCACATGCTGGAAGGAGAGAACGGACTCTTCGTTGTCCTCTGACCTCCACATGCATGCTGTGGTATTCTCACCCCCTTCAATTTATTTATTCAGTTCAATTTATTTATTGAATGAATAAATAAATAACCAAATAAACAAGCGTTTTACAAAAATCGTAAGAGCTGGCACCATGGTATGTCCCTGTAGTCCCAGCTGCTTTGGGCTGAGGTAGAAAAATTGCCTGAGCCTAAGAGTTTGGGCAGCTTAGGTAACATAATGAGATCAAGTCTAAAAAAAGAAAAAGCAGGAAAGTGGATATGAATTATATTGTAAGCAAGGACATTTTCTATTTGGCAAAGGCAGCTGAGTGCTCAGTGGTGTGTGCTGTCCATCAGTCTGCCATCAGGAAGAAGGGAGGAACAGTCAGCATGGTTGCTGTCCTAGTCTGTTCTTCATTGCTGTGACAAAATACCCTGACCACTACCAACTTGGGGAGGAAAGGGTTTATTTGGCTTATATCTCCCAGGTCGCAGTTCATCAGGGAGCCCAAGGTAGGAACTCAGGGCAGGGACCTGGAGGCAGGAGCTGAAGCACAGGCCATGGAGGAACACTGCTTACTGGTTTGCTCCCCTGGCCCCTGCTCAGCTTGCTTTCTTATGCAACACAGGCCCACCTGCCCAGGGGTGGCACCACCCACAGTGGGTTGGGCCCTCCCACATCACTCAACAATCAAGAAGATGCCCCACAGACATGGCCACAGGCCAGTCCAATGGAGGCAGTTCCCCAATTGAGGCTCCCTCTACCCAGGTGTGTCAAGTTGACACTAAAGCTGTCCAGCACAGTTGCTCACACAGAGCCTCAGAGAGAACCCCCCGCCCCCGACATGAAGTAGGTGAAAGGAAACAAGCCTGTAGAAAAGGAGCTTAGAGGTATGTATTCTCTGACTACACAGGATCCCCCTCCACCTTTAGACCTCCTCAAGTTTCTGAGTCTCAAGACGGGCTGTGTGGGAGAATCAGATGTGACTTTATAGAATGGGTCATCAAGAACAGGGAGAGCTGGTTGTAGGGCTTCCAAGGTATCTTCGAGTCGAGAAACTTTACTTTTTGGGCAGAGTTGTATTCTTAGCTTGAATAGAACAGTTGATTAGTTTTATATTGTGTGTTTCAGTATATGTGTATTTCTGCATGTATGTATGTGTATGTATGTGTGGTCGCACATACACGTGTGTGGAGACCAGAGGACAGCCTTGGACTCACCGAGTAGGCTAGGCTGGCTGGCTAGTGAGCACCAGGGTCCACCTGTCTCTGTCGTCCACACCCCAGAGTTACAAGTACATACCAGCTCTCCTGGCTTTTTTTTACGTGGGTTCTAGGGATTGAACTCAGGTCCTCATGCTTACAGTGACAGCAGTTTGCCAACTTAGTTCCCTCCCCAGCCCTGTGCTTTCAGTTCGTGAACCAAATAAACTAATGATTTTCTTTTTGGTGTGCTACGAATTGACCTCGTCGTACACCATCAGACATGTGTATAGAGCTCTCTAACCTGGGATTTTCCTTTCATCTCAGTTCACTGGAATTCAGGAATAGCCAATATCAAACAGAAATGAACACAAAGCCAGCTTCCCTTATCCCGAGCTACCTAGTATTAGAAAAAAGAATGTCTTTGTCAGAGAACAGAAGAATGATATCCTTTGTCTCTGATACACACAGAGAGGCAAGCTTGTGAAGAGGTCCGTGGATTGCCTTGGAAGATGAGTCTAGGTGTGGAAAGCCTATTTTGTCTACCATATTATATACCCAAGCAGGAGATTGTAAGGTTGGTTATACGAATGCCAGCTTGTCTCCTCTGTGTAAGGCTATAGTCTATCTGCTGTCTTCTAGGGTCTAATCACTGACAGAATGGGCTAGATTGGTAGTCATTTAAGCACAAGCTAATGACAATACAATACTCGTTTTAATTTGTTTCCGTAGTATTTTTGAAGTGTTATAGGTCGGGGTCCCTAGAAATGGAGGGGCTTCTTATGAAGTACTCTATCTAGGAAGTGTTCTCAGATGGGAGGGGAGGAGCACAAGATGGAGGGGAAGCAGCTTGTGGCGGATGTGATTTCCTCTGAGGTCTCTACCTCCCAGGGAACTCTGGAGAGGGACACTAGAGTCAAAGCACTCCAGGCAAGAGGGCTCTTTATACCCTCACAGCCCTGACTGGCATCAGGTCACCCCAGCAGGGGAGCTGTATCTTCTTAGTGGGGGGCTCCCATTGGGAGGGGTTCTCACTCATAATGCAGAAAGAAGGACTGGGAAGGCCCCCAACACCATTCCCACAGAGGCTTCTGCTGGTGTTGAAGATGATACACTTACACTTTTGCTCCAGAAAGGTGTCCTGCAAGACTACATAATTCTGTGTGTTTTGGGTGTTCTGGGAAGAGCTAAGAAGTTTGAACTAGTCTCCGAGCAACTGAAATATGCCTCTAGCCTAAATTGTCTTGGCTGGAACAGAAGCATAATTACAGGATAGAGAGATTTTTATTTTTAACCAAAAATGAATCAATCGTGAATTCTTCTCTTGCTGGGAGATTATGAGGAAGCAGAAATCCAACGCAGATCTGTTGCCCAAAGCAAAGAAAGAGTTGCTTCTTGGGAGGATGCAGGGGTTGCAGACTCCTTGGTCTATAATTCTACCAAATCCTGGGCATGTTTTTATTTTCTTCTTCTAGTAAACACCTTGTTCAAATCCACAAATAGATTTCTTCTTCTTTTTTTTTTTTTTTAACCTTTTCCCCTATTACTTCAAGTGGAATATAGAATCAAACCGGTCCAAGAAACTGCCTTTCACTTAGCTGATACCAGGGATAGAAAAAGACGCCTGCTCTCTGGTTTTCCTTTTCTAATTCTTGCTTTAAATGGAATTTATTTTGTACATACAAGGTCAGAATGTGGGTTATATTTCAGGGTATGATGTGTGGTACATTTTTAAATAGATTTACATCAGCTCCCTTCATTTTCATGTCTCTAGGTTTTGGGTTTTTTTTAACTTTTACAAAAACTTTATTGAGAATTTCATACATGCATACAAGGTGTTTTGATTAAATCCATGCCCACTCCCTCCCCTCCACCCCTCCCATATCCCCCCATCACCTTTTTCTTCTTTTTTTTCTTCTTTCATTTATTTATTGTTATGGGGCTTTTGGCTACTCTAACATTCCTCCCTCTGAAGAGGTAACCCTAAAACCTTTTAAAGATTAGAAAAAAGGTCCCAAATATTTTCGACATTTTTGGCCTTTGGAATGGAATCCTAACTGCCGAACCAATTCCTACTTCTATTCTTAACACACCACCTTATGAAGATGTTACCCAAATTGCTGATAGGGAATCAGGATGCAGACTGCTCTGGCTTCTTCCATGCTGAACAGGGGCACAGGGTGAGGCAACTGGAGTACCCCTTCAGTGGGTCTTTCTAAAAGACTCCCAAATTGCATAAGTCTTATCTCAAGGAAGAAATGAAAGTCTTTGAATTGTGAATAGGAGATGTGAAGGAGAAGTAAAGGCAAGAGTAATTAGCATTACAAGTTCTAGACAGGGAACTAGAAAAAAGTCAGAACAGGGCAATTTTCATATGAGAATCCATTGAAATTTCTTCAAAAGCATCCCTCTATTGGGTTCCTCCTCATTTTTCTTTTGTCTTCCAAGACTGGACTCTAGAGTGATGGATTCAGGATTTGCTTTCAGGTATTTTGACAGCTGTTGGAGTGGTTAGAATCAGTGTCAGTTCCCTCTCAAAGGCTTCTAGATAGGGGGAGAAAAATTTATCCATCATTTTAGAACAATAGCCAGTTGTCTCCCTTAGCTCCAGGTGGGCACTGCAGTATTGCAGACCAAGATTTGAAATCTTACATCTGAGCAGCACTTTCTGGGCATTGGAGTCCAAGATTTGAAGTCTTGCATCTGAGCAGCGCTTTCTGGTTAGGAACAAAATCATCAATGAGAAATAATTGTCTAAATAACTTTTGATATAGACTTAAGCCTAATGTCTGGGAAGTGTAATCCCTTGAAC